GCGCCCAACTATATCTAGCCGGTACCTCTCAACCTCCTGCACAAGCTCGGGCTCCTTCCCCACCAGCGAGGTGACATTCCATGTCCCCAAGGCTAGTCTCCTTTTCCAGAGGTCGGGTAATCAGGGCCCCTGCCTTTGACTGCTGCCCAATCCATTGTGCACCGGCCCTTTACGGATCCTCCTGCAGGTGGTGGGCCCACGGGAGGACGTCCCCACGTCGCTCATTCGGGCTAAGCCTGGCCGGGCCCCATGAGGGGAGGCCCGGCCACCAGGCGCTCACATTCGAGCCCCAACCCCGGGCCTGGCTCCAGGGTGGGGCCCCGGCTGCGCCATGCCGGGCGACGTCATGGTCCTTGATTTTAATCTATTCATAAAGGGCTGGAATTGATCAGTTCAGTTTAATTTGATTTAGAGCCCCACTTGACAAGACAAATGAAACACTACAATGAGGGATTTGAGAAGATTTGGGCAAAACACATTGTTATAATGAACATAATATAGTAAAATAACAATCAAGTCAAAATGGCTAGAATTAAGCTTTACAGTATTTGTTTGGAGTTATTCTATATTTTATTATTTTCAGAAAATCCCATCAAAACATCAGTCCAGCAATGTGTCAGTCTGTCTCTCAATACTTTTTAACTTCCCCACTTGTCTGTGGTTCCATTGAACCATTGGTTCTTAAAAAGGACATGAATTTTCAAAAGAAACTCTCAGATATATAGTTTTATAAAAACAAAGCCTCATTCATTTCCGAAAACTGCTGCTCACTGTAGTTTTTCCACATAGAAATGCCCCGCCTTTCCCACCTTCTCCTAGGACCAAATGTAAAACTTCCACCCCAGCAAGTAAACCTCCTATGATTAGAGCTGTCCCTGTTATGACTTTTACCTCTCCAGCTGCTTGTCTCACCATTGCTCCCCCTACTGTAGCCCCCAATCCCAGCTGACACATTTTTGCCACAAAGAAAGCTGAATTCAAAACTTCCAGAGAGGACTGATAGTTCATATGAGTGGTGATGTATTATCTGGACTGATTCTGCCCTGCCACTCCCATCTTCATGGCAGTTGTTACAACCACTTGTCCAGCATGTAAGGTCAACATGGCGATAAGAAACATTGCAAGCATTCCCTTGCATCCTACCAACATCCAAAACTTAAAGTCAGAAGATTTCAGAAGCAAATATGTTATGACACTAACCAAAGGCCAAAAGCACTATAAACACAGACTGGTGTCCTCCATAACCAAACACCCCAAACCCTGATGTAACTGGAAACCACTGCCATTGGTATTCCTGAGAAAGCCAAGAAGTCCACATATTTGATCACCATGGTGTCGTTCCAGTCTTGGATGGTTCTTTGCTTCATCTCTGCCTTTTCACTTTTCATCTTCATCCTCTCTATCTCCTCTCTCTGCCTTCTCTCAATGATTCATGTTGTCCTGGGCTCCATCCCGCTGGTGCTGCCTCCCTTTTCCAGTGTCAGGATCCTCTACTTTACCTGGACAACCACTCTCTGTCTCTGCTGAGAATCTACAGATCCTAGTGTTGAACAGGCCTCTCCCTGCTTCCAGAGGAACCTAAATATAAAGTGAAGGGGCAGTTGAAACACAGTGAATATGCTCAGTGCCCACAGGAGGCCTACCATGCCGTGATTTTTCACAATCCATTGGATGTCATCCCCAAGTGTGGTTCTGCTAACAGTGCCCACAATCCAACAGACTGTTTGGGAGGTGCCACAGCTTCTTGTGGTCATCAACACTGAAGCCACTACTGCTGCTAAAATTACACTGGCTATGACTGAGGTCATCGCTGTGGTCAGTGCTGTGGCCCCAATAAGGCTCCCCAGGCCCAGAGCACCCACTGTCCTGACTTCCTCTATCAGTGGTTTCAGTGGGCCAGCTGCAGTCATCACTGACAGGGTCTTGTCCACTGGATCCTCTGTGGCTCCCAGTGTGGAGCCTCCCATAGCTCCCACAGCTGTCTCCATTAGAGGGCTCCTGGCTTCTGAGACATGACAACAACCAAACTGTTAACCAGTGTGTGGGGTTTCCTTACTTTCAAAGGAATTTTTATTTGCTAAATATTTTGATAATTTTGTTAGCTTGATTTATACTTTAATAATGACTTAATAATTAGGAGAGGCGACAGTGGTGTGGTGGGTAGAGCAGTCGTCTCCCAACCAGAAGGTTGAAGGTTTGAATCTCAGTGCCAGCAGTCAAAGTGTCCTTGGGCAAGACACTGAACAACCCCCCTTGTTGCCCCCGATGGTTAGAGCCATCGGTTGAGGTGGCACCGCAGATGGCTGCCATCGGTTCTGTACTGGAAACAAATTCCTTGTGTGTAACATACTTGGCCAATAAAGGTGATTATCCTTCATAGATTGTTTTTTGTTGCTGTAGTTTTTTTCATTACTCAACTTTTGAAATGATGCTGAAGGAAAAGACACCATTGTGTCTAGATGTGGCTGGTTCATGTTTTTACTTTACTGTTGTACAGTTTTGGACCATTTAGCATTTTAATGCATATGTGATATTTATTTATTCTCTTGTTTTTTGTTTCATTTTCTTCTGTATAAAGAACTGTGCAGTTGCTCTTAATAAAAAATATATGAAATGTAAAACCTTTGAATGACTGGACAAAGACTAAATCTTTAGTGGCTCCTAAGACTTCACTCATATCCCAGTTAATGAGTTTCCTGTCTTTCTTTTCACATGTTGTCTGTAAATCTTGACTAAGGCTGCAATCAGAGACTGTGACCAAACAGGTTGATCATGTTTAACCAGCAGACACACCATGCTGCCATGAGATCTGTTCACACTCTCTATGAAATTCCAATTACAATGACATTAAACCCTTACTGGGATAGTAAAGGTCAAAAGAATGTAACAGTAGCAAAAGTAGGCTTTTATGTGGTAACCCCCCAATGTCTGTAAAAATTCTTTGTTACATAGCCTCCTTAATATGCAGATAAAAAAGCACAAAAGAAGCATTTCACTGCTGTGGGTAGGTTGAAGTGCTCAGAATCAGATGAATGAATATGGATATTTAGAAAGATGATACATCTTTACCCAGTTTAGTCTGTGTCATGATGTTCTGAGACTGGCAGTAGACAGAAGGATCCTCTTTCCTGTCAGGCTTTTCTAGACCTGTGTCCTACGTGTGTAGTCTGCACCCTGTGAATCATAAAATCTGATTACAAGGGCTTCTTCAGCAGCCCATGCAGGACACACCCCCTACTGGATTCTACACAGCAGCAATTTCCTCTTCAGTCCATTTATTTTCACTACACATTGGCAGTCTATATGAACACAAAAATCATTAAAAAAATAATGGTGAGAGTCAGACCAAAGAATATGCAAAGTATGAGTGAAAACTGAAAAAAAGAGGGACTTTGGGAGATTTTGCTAAACTTCCCAAGATCTCGTAAGCGCACACCCTCATCTCACACTTAAGAAAAAATTGTAACTGAAAATGAGTGATGGCGGTCTGACTGACTTTACTTGCTGTCTTGATTGGGACATCTGCAGGGTATAAAGTTGCTTTCAAGAATTTCTTTGTGTGTCTATGTGTAGGCAAGTGGAGGACTGGAGAGTGCAGAGCCAGGGAACAGAGAGCTGAAGAGTCGGGTAGCATGTCAGGGAACAGGTGAGTGTCGACAAACAAACCAGTGGGGAGTAAATGGAAAAGTAGGGTATATGTAACAGACTGAACTGGGAGATAATGAGGGGCAGGTGCATGCAATGATGAGTGAGTATGCTGGTGGAGATGTGACAGGCAGGGAAAGACGGAATCCGGGAAAAAACAACAGAAAAACAGGAAGCACAGACACAAACCATAACAGTAGATGATCTGAGTTTTGTTCTATCACTTGTCTTTTGTAAAAGGAGCCTGTAGTTGATACTAAGTTGTGTCACTGTGAGCCATCCACGTCATATATGTGGTTGAACAAAACACACAAACACTCGTGGCTGCCAATTCTCGTTATTGCCAGCCACCAATAAAAGCAATGGCTCTTTGTTTTTAAAGAAAAAAGCATAGTTGCAGGAAATATGCAATTTTTTTTATTTTATTTTATTGCTATTGAAATATTTGAAAATAATTGCCCATCCCTGTAAATGGTCACTCTTTCTATTGTATATTTTAAACTATAGCATTTTAATCAGTGTAAAACTTCCACATGGTATAGTAAACAGTATTTTATTTTCATGACTTCATCCCAGTGTAAAGACTATAAGCTGAATGGGAGCATGATGGCAGGAGCAGCAGGGAAACCCTTATGTACGGCACTGTAACACAGACACAACACATCCATGGATGAGTACATCTTTTCTTTTTCTTAAATATGTACATCTCACATGAATGTCTGTGCGTAATTACAAAGACATGTAGCATGTAGCTTGATAGCTGTGTATGTTACATTTTAATTTGCTAAAAGTGTTAGCACTTGCTTGCCTGTGCTCTATTATGGGAAGATGTGACTGTGGTGCTTGTATAATGTTACCTAATAACACATGGACATGCAGCCACTGACATCAGAATGAAACTGAAACAAACCCAGTCCAGATCACTGAAAGTAGCCTATCACTATAACACAGATTAGCCTCCATCCCAGCCATATATGGATGCTTATAAATGTTTAATCAAATGTTTCTGTATAAACGTTCAAGTTGCTGACATATTTTATCTATTTTCTGTTTTTCTATTGGACACGTCATTAATTTTACATTGATCTGACAACTAAGAAATATACTTTTAGAAAACGGAATTCAGTTTCCCAGTTTTCTGTTTGTCATATCCCAAACAGAAACTGAACTGACTGTCCAGTCGGCTCCCTGAATCGAATCGGACTGAAGGGAAAAATCAATGGAAGACCTGACAAACCGGACACTATAGGGCCAGCAGAGGGCAGTAATGCAACGTTGGCGATGTCGGCTGCCTTTTTACCCCAAAGAAGTAGATGTAGCGGAACTGTTGGAAGTTTAGATGTTTAGTACTCGTGATCTACGGAATCATTTTAGTGTAACTCTACGATGGCCTCTCCGAAGAAAACATGTGTGCAGTTGTGTGGTGAGTTTTTCTTTTAGGTCATTCTTGTTGCCCATACAAAACACAGTGTTTTCCGCGGATTTTAATCTCAAAGATAAGCGGCATCGCGAATGAGGATTCGAGAAATTCCTTCAGAATTTGGTAGTGTGTTATGAAACGAAGGTGCAGGGTTAAAACTGTTCGCAAGTCTCATTTTCGCACGCTAACATCAGATTATCTTTGTGACTGTAACGCATGAGAGTCACAAACTGGGACTAGCTGTCGGTTTACAAAACTGTTGGTACTTATGTTTTATAATTATGGCTTACGATCTAATAATTAGAATCTGCTTTATTGGCAGGTGTGTCGGACACACGAGGAATTTGACTCTGGTACATCTGCTCTCAATGTGCACGTACATATTCCCATGCAAGGGGCAAGTAAACAGTAGACCATCGTAAGGCTGTATAACAAAAAAAATTGTCAGTGTTAACAAGCAACAACCAGGGCAAACGATGCAAAATTAAGCAGTATAAACAGGCAGTAATAAAATGCAGACAGACAGGAGAATGATCATCGAGATGAGATAATAGGAATGAGGTAGAATAAAAACAGAGTACTTAAAATAGAGACCAGGGCAAGGGACAAGTAAACAGTAACTAACATCGGCTGTGTAATATACCAAAAATAAGCAGTATTAACAAGCAACAAACAGTGCAAACAATGCAAAATAAGCAGTAAACAATGCAGGAAACAGGCCTGTACGAATCAGTATGGTCTGTACGAGATATATTCAGAGTTATTGCGCTGAGGGTTATGGCCCAGTCATACTGTCATTGGTTGAGTGTTCATCAGAGTGATGGCCTGGAGTAAGAAACCGTCCCTGTGCCTGGTTGTCTTGTGCACAGTGACCAAGACGAGATCTTTTGTATCAAAGTAATTCAGGGATAGTTGGCAGTATGTCCAATAGTAACATTAGCAAAAATGATCTGCTAATAGTTGATTTGGCATGCATAGTGCAATGTTTACACCTTTATGGTGTAAACATTGCATGTGGACTGCAGGCACCGAGATTCAGAGTGTCCTTGGGCAAGACACTGTGTGTGAATATATACAGTGGGGCAAATAAGTATTTGATACACTGCCGAGTTTTCAAGTTTTCCCACTTACAGAGAGTGGACAGTTCTGCAATTTTCATCATAGGTACACTTCAACTGTGGAAGACAGAATCTACCAAAAAAAAAATTTCCAGTAAATCACATTGTTAGATTTTTAAATAATTTATTTCCATTTTATTGCATGAAATAAGTATTTGATCACCTACCAACCAGCAAGAATTCTGGCTCTCACAGACCTGTTAGTTTGTCTTTAAGAAGCCCTCCTATCCTCCACTCATTGCCTGTATTAATTGCACCTGTTTGAACTCGTTACCTGTATAAAAGACACCTGTCCACACACTCAATCTATCAGACTCCAACTTCTCCACTATGGGCAAGACCAAA